CTCCAACCAGTGGTGTGTAAAGAGAAGTGTGTGTGTGTTTGTGTGTGTCAGAGCTGTCATGACCAGACAGCAGAGGATGGAGATCTAAGCAGGAAAGCAGATGGAATGAGGCACAAGGACTGCTCCCATCAGTACACACACACACACACACACACACACACACACACACCCATTGGCCTATGGACCAGCTGTTGTCCTTTTACTGCAACTGTCTGAGGTGACTCCATGTCCTCTTCTCTCTCTCTCTGTCTCTCTCTCTCTGCCCTGGATTAGATGCATTTCGTAGTCATCCTGGGAGCTGAGAGGTAAACAGTGGGGCTAATTGTTTTGACATACTGCTCTTTGTTTTGGCCTCCTGGTGCTAATCAACCACTCTGCTAATAAGTCTGCCTGGCAAGGAAAACACAACTGTGTTTAGGCTGGGAGGAAGTAAAAAAGAACCCCAAAAAAAGAAAAAGGGACAGGTGCTGCAGTCATAGTTGCAGTCCACATGTGCTCGTCATCCAGAGTTCCCACAGTGCTGCTGTGGCTGGATAGCACCCTGCTCAGGTGTGAATCTATTTATCCTCATTAACGAGAGTCTCCCCAAAGTCAGCCAATTAACACGCTGCTCCTAATGAAGCCATTAGCTGTCAGATGAGGTAGAGGCAGTGCTTGTCATCAGTCCACTGTGTGGATAGTTTGTGTGTGTGTGTGTGTGTGTGTGTGTGTGTGTGTTTGTGTGTGGTTGTGTGTATCCACTCTTGCTGCTAATAAAAGCAAGAGAATTAATGGAGTGAGCGTGTGTGATAATGAGTTAATGTGGAACAAGCAGGACGAGCAGTGATCAGCCCTCTGTCTCAAATGAAGATATCAGACACAGTGATTTACTCTCTCAGTGCCATAAACAGGCTTTTCTCCTCTCACATATACCACTCGTTTGTGTGTGTGTGTGTGTGTGTTTAATAGACATGCTGGCTGTGTAAGAGGGATGGCGAAAAGCTTCTTTCTAAACACAGAGCACGCTACTTGGCTCTGTGGTTTTTGAAATAAGACCTCTTGACTGCAGGTGTGCAGCCATGTGTGACCACTTAACATCCCTTTAAAGTTCGCAGGAGTGTCACCCTCAAAATAACAAACTATGGATGTCCACGTTCCTTAATGGAGCCATCATACGGCACAACCTTAATGTGAATTTTAATTGTCAAAGTAATTGCAAAGACATGAATGACACAGCTTTGACAATAAGAACAATAGGATCACAGAGGCAGCTGTTCCACTGACACCAGTTTTTACATTTAACTGTTTGTTTGTGACTGACAATAAAAATCAGAGAAAGGCCTAACAGGTTTCTGAGAGCCTGCACTGATCTGAGGGGGTGAAGAATCTCAAATAGAAAAAAAAGTGAATTTTAGATTTTACCACTGGCAACAAAGAATTACGCTTACTTTCACTGTGATTTTTCCGATAGACTTTCCTATTGGGATCCCCTTTGGCTGGATGTAGCCTGCTGTAGCCTTTATCTAACTTGATTTTATATTATGCGTTTAATCCTATTGCAGATTCTTCAGTCTTAAGTCTTCTTCAACAGCCCCTCCCCTCCCCTACTCATCCATCCTGCTTTCTTTTCTCCTCTGCTCTCAGTTACTCCGCAATTGATTCTGTCCTCTATTACACCATCATTACCAACAGTATAATGCCCTCCAGTGATCAGTTATCAAGTTTGCTCAAATTCACTTTGAAGTTGTGTCAGTGCCCTACTGTAGAACGGCCCCTTGTTTTTCAGCATGGATGCATGAAATTTCAAATGGGCAGCTTTAAGCCCAAATAGGCATACACCGAAAATGTGGTGAATCAGACATGCATCCTGCAACAAGTGGGAAAGCAAAGCATTACCAAAAACATCTGTAATTCCAAAACAAATTAAAAACCCACCATACTGTCAGGCCAAGGGAGGACACAGGACAGTTACCACGTCACTGGTAATCTTCTGATTTCAGGACACATTCAAGAGTTGGTATTAACGGGACGTCCTGTATGCATCTGCTATATGTGTTGCCAACACATATAGCCCACCTGATCCACCTCTGACATTAAGTTTTTATCTGCACATAAAAACTGTGTTACTTTAGTATATTGACCTCTGGAAGTATTGGAACTTTGGTTTTTAAAGTGACCTTTTTTTTAAGGGAATTTGGTTGCTTCAAGAAAATGTTTTGTTAATTTGTGAATGCTTACAGAATATCTTGTTAGAAATTCTAATTTGCTAAATGTAACACACCCGTTTGATGAAATACTACTGCATAACTTTATGAGACTCAAAACTTCATATATCTATTTTATAAGAAAATATTTTCCTATTAAATACATGTTTATGTTATTATTTTCTGTTCATTTGGTTGGTTTTTACTTATGGTTTCAGTAATTTATTAATGTTTTAGTGTTTTTTTTTAATACATTTAAAGTATGTTTTAACACAGTGGTTCCTAAACCTGGGTCATCTGCAACCCCAAAGTTCATTCTTAGAGGTAAAGAAATTATTAACAGGATATGAAAGCAAAAAAACAAACAACCAAACAAAAAAAAACAAATAACATTTCTGCTACACAACTAAATTCCTCTAATCCATCTGCTTTTTCTTCTGAATTACTGGACATTTTGAGTGTTTTAAGGCCTAACAATTTTTTATTTTTTATCAAAACAAGAGGGTTTCTTTGGTTGGACTCATCACCACTGGTAGAGAGATATAGATATATACCTATAAGATATATATAAGTTATAACACAAGACAAGGATCAGACCTGTAGCAGCCTGACAGAAAGGGGTTTGACAACTTGTAGGACCTTACAGTTATCTTATGGTGGAAGTGAGACTTGGTAAAAGATAAAGGAGTGATGTTGTTTTGATGATTTTGTAAACTTAAAGTATAAAAGAAGAGACAGAATTGGTGAAGTCCAAAAGTCACACAACCATGTGGCCGACTTGCAGCCGATATTGATTATTCCCATGTATGAATGCTCTTATGTGGGCTGCTGTTTCGTTCCCATCTGTGTTCTCAGTACGGCATCCAGACTGCAGCCCTCTGCTTCCCCCCTTTCCAATTAAAGAGAAATGTGATGTCGGATGTCCTCTCTTTGACCTCCTGCCATGCCAGTTTTACTGCAAACACTGTATCTCACTAACTTTTTCTCTGCTTTCTCAGAAATGTTGGGCTACCCTGCTTTGAAGTTACTGCTCTTTTATCCTGATGATGTGTTTTATTCATTTTATTGACCTTCAGCTATGTATATATATATATATATATATATATATATATATGTATGTATAGAGAGAGAGGGAGAGAGATATTAAAGCTTGGGGAAAATAACACCATTAATAAAAGCTTTGGAAAACAATTTATTTAGAAGAATTTGGTAACCACCTTTTTTAATCAATTTTGATTTCATAACGTTCAACCAGAGTCTTTGAAACAGGATACATAATAAACTCAAGAGAACAGAAGGTTTGAGGTGAGATGCACTTAAGAAAAAGGTGTGAGTCGGCCGCTCCCATTATTACCCGCCAGTAAACAACTCACTCATCCTCCCAAATTGCTACTACACAAGTCCCTACTTCTGCTTCTCTATTGTTGCTGTCCTCATCCGACAGGACAGCAACAATCAGCCCGCTCTTTCTCAGGATCTGATTCAGAGGCTCGATTATCTGCTAGTGCAAAAATAATTACCTGAAGTTCATCATTTAATACTTCACCTTGCACCTGTTATATTTTCCTCACTTAAGTCATTCATTTTCTCACAAGTAAGCAATTTATGTTGGGGGTATCAGTTGCTCTGTAAAGATACATTTGCAGGCTGCTAGTAAAAATGTTTAAGCATCCTGACTCCACACTGAAGCAGTATGAGGTGGAAGAGGCTCAAGGATACTGCAGTGCTGCTCTGGACCTTGGCTTGCTTAGCTTGTTTGCTAGGCTGCTGGCTCCTCTTCCATCCAGGGGCACCCCTCCACCCCCAACCCCCAGAAATCAGGGATTATTTCGAACTAAAATAGATGGATGGAATCAATCAGCCATGGCTTTACTTTTCTCTTCTTCTACATAACCGCCCCCCTTTCACCTCCACCCTCACACCCTTTTCTCTCTCTCCCTCTCTCTCTCTGTCTCCCCCACCCCCCTCTCAGGGCTGCAGACTGAGGAGATGCATAAATTCAGACACATTAGTATTCCAGTCAGGCTCTCCATTTCAAGGCAAGGCCTAGCACCCTTCCGCCTCTCCTCCTCGCCTCTCTCCCCTCCTTCACTCTCCCTCTCCAGCTCTATTTTTGAATCATTTAAGCAGCACTGCATATAGGCCCACTTATTTCCAAACCATCCCTAAATTATTTTTAGGCATTATGAATTTTTTGTGGGGGGGAATGTAGCTGTATTTTGCCCTTGCACGGCCAATTATACGCAGCTGTAGTCTTTGAAATGAGATTCATCTGCTTCTGATTGTGTGTGTCTGAGTGTGTGTGTGTGTCATTGTGTTTTGCTGTCAGGCACAGCGGCCCAGGCGATAAATCACGCATGTCTGATTGAGGAGGGCAGAGGGCCCGGACAATAACAGTTCAGTGGAACTGCTGGAGAAAGCGTCTCAGTTTGCTGTGATCCGTAGAGCCTGCAGACCTGCAGCCAAGGTCCTGTTGAACCACTGGATGTTTTACAGCTGTTAGTTACATGAAAAACTTGGAAAAAGTTGCCTTTTGACATGACATTGAAGCTGACTGAAGGTTATGCTGCTTAAGCATATGCGTACTCGTGTATATGAATACACAAATGAAGCATAATTGTCTCTTTAGTATAACTATAATCAGTCACAATTTTAAATTGAACCCAAGGAATATTTAGTGAACAAAAATAAGCCTATTGCATTATAGTATTGCTGTCACAATTTTATAATAATAATATAATAATAATAATAATAATAATAATAATAATAATAATAATGTATTATTTTAAGCATTGGCTATTATTGTAAATATTCAATATTCTTTTATCAGAGGTTGAATTCTGTTTTGGACAGTGAACAGTTGTAGCAAGAAATTGTTTATTACAACATACATAGTTTATTTCAAAACATAATACAAGCTTTATACTGAAAATAAATAATTACTTGAGCTGTCATCGAAATTTGGAATAAAACCGCCGAAACAGTTCAATCTTACTGAAAATATTGTTGTGTTTTTTTACATTGCTAATTAAGTGCATGAATAACTAAGAGCATTTGTTTAAATTAATGACTTCAAAAGGGTAATATATAAAACTGTACAATATTCGAAAAAATACTTAAGAAATAAACCAATAACAGGAGTATTTAAGATTATAAAATTTTGATACTGAACGTACAATAAAATTATAGGCAGGTGTATAGCGTCGTCAACCCCTCTTTCTATTCTCGGCTCTATTTCAGAGTCCACACAGTTTATATGGTCGAAGATGATTAAAATCAAATAAATGAATTTATAAATAGCTGTAACTGTGTGTGGCTTCATAAGCTACAGGCCACAAGGGAGGAATTTAATAAAAATAAAAAATAAACTCCAAGTGCTATTATGTTGGTAGCAATACCTCTACAACTGGACTGAGGGCCTATATTTGCATATGCAAAAATAATTACAGATCTGCTACGAGTATGTTACAAAATAATGAACGCAAATGTGATGAGAACTAAAGCATTTTGTAAGCCCGAGGGAAGTATGGGGTGGACTGTAAAATGGCCTCTGGTGCTGCAACAAATCAATTAAGAAAAGTGATATTATTCTTTGTTTCACTCCGCTGATCATACAACACAAATATGTGAGAGACGTCCAAACAAATCAAAAACAACAGACATCAGTCCCATCCTATCATTATTACCGAGCTGATGAGAAGTGGTGACACAAACCAAAGGCGCTGGCAGGTTATTAGGCACATTTTGTATTTATATCCATGATGTAGAAAATAATTTGGCGGGCTCCAAAGGTGATCTGAAATGTGAAGTTTGATATGCCGCTATAGAATAATGCCCTCATAACAGTTAGAAAATGACGAAGGCTGAACAGGTATCTCTGTTATTGTTATTGTCGTGTTTCAGTGCTGGAGGCATCTGGAGGAGTCTGTGCCGGGACAGGCGCGGGGGCTTGGAGGTGCCACCGCGCCCCTTCGCTCGAGAGTCTGTGCCGGGGGATTCCTCCCGGTGCTTCGGTCAGAGATCATGGCACGAGGAGGCGTCTCCCGCGCTCCCGCTGTGAGAATAGGGTCCCTCGTGTGGCGGCGCCTCTCCCGGCGGCGTCATGCGCTTCTCCTTCTGCCTCCGGTTGCAGAACCACACGCGCACCACCTCCTTCTCCAGCTGCAGCGAGTCCGCCAGCGAGGTGATCTCCTGCGCGGAGGGTTTGGGACACTTGAGAAAGTGCGTCTCCAGAACCCCCTTCACGCTGACCTCGATGGACGTCCTCTTCTTCCTCTTCCTCCCCTGAGCTGCTATCTTGTCTATACTGCTAGAGCTACCTGTGGTCGAGTCTGCCTCCTCCAGCCACTTGTTCAGCAGCGGCTTTAGTTTGCACATGTTTTTAAAGCTCAGCTGCAGAGCCTCGAACCTGCAGATGGTGGTTTGGGAAAACACGTTACCGTACAGCGTGCCCAGAGCCAAACCCACGTCCGCCTGCGTAAAGCCCAGCTTGATTCTCCGCTGTTTGAACTGCTTGGCAAAGTGCTCCAGCTCGTCCGAAGTCGGCGTCTCCTCGTCGGAGTGATCGTGGCAGTGGTGCCCGCCGAGGTCGCTGTGCTCGGGGCTGAGTGTGTCCCTGAGGCCCGGGTGCATGCCTTGGCCCTGCGGGTTGGGTGGAGGTGTGAGGCCACCGTGGTCCAGCATGCCGTTGACAGTGAAGCCCGTCTGGGAGTAGATATTGATCTGCTGCCCGCTTGTGATGGAGGAGTTGTGGGACACCGGAGTTCCCCAGGCTCCCGGGTGGTTGCCATGGTTGTTGTGATGAGGAGAGTGATGCGCTACGTGCGGGGAACGGTGATGGATGATGCCAAGCTGCAGGTCCTCTCGGCCTGGTTTTACGTCCTGCTGCTCCATGTTGGCCGACCAGGGGCTGCCCTCCGACAGACTGCTCGCCCAGTGGTGCCCGAGGGGGTTCCCGTTACTCTGGACGCTCTGCAGGTAGTCACTCTGTAGGAGTTTCTGGTGTCCTCTGTAGGGGCTAGCAGGCTGCATGGCCTGGCTGTCCGGGTGGATCATGGGGCTGGAGCTGAGCAAGGTGTAGGGGCTGGAGGCAGCTGTGGCCATGCTGGCTGCTGAACCCCACTAGTGCTACTGAAGCGAGGGAGCAGTTCAGCCTCTGACATCTCCCTCTCTCTGGAGTCTCTGCAGCGGCCTGTCACTGACTGACAGCCTCCACCACCACTCACAGACCGACGGAGACGCAGTGACGACGCATGTCGACCAATGACAGCGCAGATACCCGAACCTCAGCCTCTGAAAGCAGAGCTGCGGATGGGAAAGGGTTAAAGGCAGTCGAACCGGAAGTGAGTGGGAATGCTGGTCCAGTGAGTATGGCTGTAGAACGATGTGCGCGTGGAGCGCAGTTCCTGTTTATTAATTAAAGTTTCCAACTGATTTACGCACGGGTTTATTGCTGCTCCTGTCACCCTTGAGCGCGTGCGAAGGAGGAGATTAAAGCGCAATGGCATTTACGTGCCAGCACTTAATTTAGAAGGATACAATCAAACCAAGAGCAGTTCTCACTGCTAATCATTAACTTTTAAAGAATACTTCCTCAGGTGTTTATAGAATGAGCTTCTTAAGATAGTGTTTTACGCAAAAGTGTTTAAAGCACAGGACATTCATCATTACCCTTTTTAGTCCCACAAAAATCATGGGCTTATATTCTAATTTAAAATAGGATTTCCACAAGATATTGAAATTGTAACATTTCTCTTACAGCCCAACTCACACAATTTGCTCTTATACAGGGAATCGTGTGTCTTTACAACCTAAAACATTTTTCGAAGTAGTAAATGTGTTATTACGCACTCATACTTCCAGTCTTTAAGAATCTCATCAGGTCCTCTCGGAGATGAAAAAGCTCTCTCTGCATATCCGAGAGGTAACTTAGCTGCGTAATTATATTTGCCATTAGAAGACTGCGTCCCAGGGTCCTTATTGGTTTGAAATTCCATTAAATATATTGCCCGAGCTCCCAGGTTAAGCTTGATTTAAATTTGCATACATTTTCATACATTGAGTAGAAATAAAAGAAGGCTGCAGCCACCAGAAAGTCATTAAAGAGCGCTGAGCCGAGGAGCTGCTTGCGGAGACAGCGACTGGGAAGAGGCCGGAGCAGGTGAGCTGACCGGGGGGCTGGATGTGTGGACAGAGCCGCTGGAGGGTGGACAGGGCCTCGGCAACCGGGGGAATGACAGACAGCGGTAGTGAAGGTGTTGAGTCAGTATCTAGCCTCGCGTAGTTGTCGCCGATAGGCCTGTAGATGGATGGGAATAATTCACCAGATGTAGGATATTTCTGTTGTTGTGTTCTTATTCTAATCCCAGAGTGGTGTTTTGTGTCAATTCCTAGTTTACTCGTTGATGCTTCATTAAAGTGACTGAATATTTGATGTGAATGGCAGGGATGTTGTAGTGGCCTGGTATGCTGAACTAGATTGCTCCGTTTGAGTCGTTATGGGATGAAATTATGCAGAATTGTATGCAAAAAGAGTAGTACAACACAGTGGTAGTGGTGTTATTTCAACACAATTCCTGAATTTCCTCGCCAAAGCGAATTGATTTTGTAGTATGAATTCTTAAAGAAAAATGTAACTGGTTTGTTTAAATCTGAGCCTGTAGAGCCGATATTCACAGAATCCGAGGTTTTAAAATGGGCTTAACTGGTGCCAGGCGCGGGATCGCTATAAAAAAAAATAGTTTCAGCATAAATATATTTTTTTGTTTCCTTACAAAAATAAAGTGCATTATTGGGGCACATGAAGCAGACAGGAGAGGGACTTGGAGAGGGGGTTGTATTGCTCTCGATAGTCTAAGTTTCTAAGTGTAACAGATGCTTCTCTAGAAACGCTCCTTGTGCTGATTCCTTTTATTCACATCAACATTTTTCTGCAGTCGAGCGCGTTTCCATAGCGAGGCGAATAAAAGGCAAATCCCAGCTCCGCGCCTCCAATAAAGAGCCCATTCACAGATAACCCGAGCCAGCCCTGCTACACTTACACCATGCAGCACTGCAGGCTCTCTCTGCTGAGGTGCAAATTACTGCGAAATAACACAAACTAAAGAGTCGTAATTTCTTCAATTTTGTCTTTATAAAATGGCAGTTTATGGTTGTTTGTGATGTTTGTTTTAGCTGCTTATAGGTGTTTGTTTGGCGGCTTTGAGTAAATCTTTTGGCAATTATATTCTAACCCAGATTATTTGCTGTAGGCAGTGTTAAATACGACGATTTGTTTACTATACACATACAGTAGTGATCTTCACGAAGCAGACAATTAAAAAAAAAAATGTATGGATGCCTTTTCCCTTGGAAAATCAGACCGTAGACTATCTTTCAGAGGGCCTATAACTTAACGCCTACATTTACATGGAATAGATGTAGTCCAAAAAAGTCATGAATATTAGTTATTAGTTATTAGTTATTCCGATTTCTTTTTTTCTGAAACTGCCTTCAATTGAATTTCAATTGAATTGAACTTCTAGCTGCAGGTTTGTAACATAGCCTACTTGTCATGGGCAATTTCAAAACAGGAGTATAGTTACATTTGGGGAGTAGGCTATTAGCTGGTTTAACTCATGTTGCCAGATCACCATGTTTCCATAGGTGAAAGAATAGACTAAGGACAAAAAATATCTATACTGTTCCTATTGAGATTTGGTCTGTCTGTCATTCTCAACGTTTGTCATTTTTGATAGGCTTTTTATTATATATTCTATCTCTCTGTAATAATTCAATTCAGGGGCACATTTTGCCGTTGTTTTTGTAGGTTCCTTTTTGAAAATGATTTTTTTTTTAATGTTAATGGAGTTCGTTATCCTGTGAAAGTCTAAATGGCAGCTCAGGGTGTTTTTGGAGAACACTTTTATTAATTTTTCTGTTTCATTAGACTTTGTTTCTTTTGCCTAAATGCTCCCCTCTCCAGTGTTCAGTGCAGCGGGCTGCAGTCTACAGATAAATCAGCTTTAGTCTGCTGTTGAGACAGCCTTGGGCCTCAGGGCGGGACGTGTCACTCGGTGTCATGACCTTTGAAAACTTTCCCCATGAAGCCTGAATCTCCGCTGCTGCGTGCCAGATATGGCCTCAAGTTAAAGATTTAACAAGTGAAACATATTAATCTGTCTTTGCTATCCTAATTATTTACGTGGGAAACGCAATCACTCCGGGCCTGTTTTGAACTGTCAAAAGAAGAAAACAGACTTTTACTTTCTAATTAACAACGCTATAATAAACACGCTTTATTAGACAATAAGCACAGTTTGCTTTTGCTAAATAGTTTAAGTGTTTCAATCCAAAGCCTTTGTGTCACTTCTGAGTTTAAACGCACTGGCTGTTTTCTCATCCCTGACACCCGTGACACACACTTCACCGGCTGCCGGACAGTAAAATCGATATTCCCATTTACCCGTGACGTCGCTAATAAAGGACAGTGACACCGTGTTTAAACAAGACGGACGTTCAAAAGCAGACCCGAAACTAATCTCACATCATGTCGGTGACAAGCCGTTTGTTTTCATCATCATCTTGAAACAAAAAACGTCTGGAGGTCTGTTTGTGATAGAGAAGTGCATGCTGTCCTACATGACCAGCTGTCAGTCATGTAAACCTCACCTCTGCCTGCCTCTGTGTGTCCCAGCAGGGGTGAAATACACTGGACACACCAATGACTGAATGTATATGAAACAAAAAATCCTCCCATGAGAGCACACAAGTGTAAATGTACATTCATAATGCATGAGGCCCGGCGCGTTTGTTTGGTCTGCAGTGCGAGACCTGGTTCAAGGGGTTTGTGTGTGTGAAAGTGTTTTAAGACTTTTTTTTTATTTATTTATTTTTTTTCACTTTTCAACAAGTTTAAAGTGAAATCCTCGGAAAGAAACCTACATAAAGCAAACGAATATAGGCCTATATGTGTCCTGCTCTGGCGACAAACTGATCCTTTTGGTTAAAACTGCACGAAATTTAGCGAGATAAACTTCATTCGTGACATTTAGGACACACATTTGCGTCCAATAAACGCACGACCGCAGCTTACAAAATGTGCGAGTCGTTCAGGAAATTTTAAGGCTGTTCTAACCGCACTGTCTTGAAATAATTCTACTTTCAAACAAGTAATAATGAATAAGTAATGAACACCAGATAACAGATGAACGAAGCTTTTCCTCATTCCGATTATCAGATATGTGTCATGTATTTTAATTAAGGATGAAAAACATGAAAACCCACCTGTGCATGTTTGTAAAAAAAAAAGGGTCTTACTTTGACTTCGGAATATATCGAAAATTGGATCATATAGACCTATGTGTGCACTTTATTGCACCATGAATAAAGCCGCACTTTCAGTCTTTGTTTAAGGATGGAGCTGGTGTAAAACATAAACTACAGAATGCAGTGGCAACCCTAGCACACTCCTGTTTGTACTGCAGATAAATACAGGTATAACAGATCCCAGGGAAAAGAATATAAAGTATGATATATGGTAATATGAATGAACTGTATTGCCATTTAATTGACTGCAGTGACAAGATCCTGACAGTGAAGATAGGCCTACACTTTAAACACAGTGGATTTTTATTTATTTATTTTATCATAAAGTTGTTTTCAATGTCAAAGTTCCTTCAACACTTATTTAGTTTCCTGGAACAGCTGAAAGACACTAAGAGCAGTTTGAAGCTTCAATTAAATGTCTTAGGTCTAGATATTTAGTATTCCAACTATGGTGCAAATGCCAGGGTAAAATTATTTTTGGTTAGTTAATTAGAAAATGAATTCAGTCAAAACAACACACAGGCCTGAGGTCAGAGAATCTCCCGGCTCCTGAAAAGGTTTCCCCCTTTTACAAACACCTCACTCGCACAAAAGCAGTCCTTGCAATATTATTTCTTATTATCTGCAAGAATTTGGAACACCTAAGAAATTGAATTTCACAAAATTGAAACTGTTAGTCCTTCATGCCTTCTCTCAAACAAAGTGAACGTTTGTTAGAGAGATTATTCACTGCTTGTGCGTGTGTGCGTGTGTGTGTGTGTGTGTTACAGGTGCTGTTTGTGGAAGAGGCTAGTTTATTGTCCCTGGGTAAGCGAAGGAGCCACGGTTGGTAAAAATCTACATAACATTACCATCTGTTCAACTTCAAACTGCTCAAACACACACACACACACACACACACACACATGAACACACAGTGTCATATAAACAGAGAGTGGTGAAGAAGAGTAGAGAGTCTATAGAAATGTAATGTATGCTCTTCAGCCCCTCTCCAGCTCCTTTTCCACATCCTCTTTCTTCTTCTCCTCCTCTGTGCTAAGAGCAGAGAAGAGCTCGGGGGTTGAGGCCTCTGCTGGCACCAACAAGGAAGAGAGAGGACTCGGGAGCAGAAAGAGGACAGACTTGTTGTGAAAACTTCTCTGCTGA